ATGTGATTGGGAGGTGGCAAACACAACAAAAACATATAAGTCTATTGGCCCCCCAAAATATGATATTTATTATGTATAGCAGTAATATGTCTTTAATGCAGCAAACCTGTGTTTGTCTTAAACCTTTCAAGATTAAAATGGCTAAAATTTAACCTGAGATTCCCATGACCTCTCATGTTTTCTGCCCAGGTTCTCCTCACTCAATGCAATAATCATCTCAGATATATTAAGCAGAAAAAAGCAATCTGAGTGCTGACACTGGCAAACATGATTTTTCTGGATTTAATCCTCCTGTGCCTCTGAATGTGTGCTTCCCTTGAAATCATACATATCTCATTCAGCTGTGGTAATGAAGCTGAACCTTTTTTTAACTTTATTTTATTTATTTATATGTGCTGTTGAGAATTGACCCCAGTGCCTCACACATGCCAGCCAAGTGCTCTACCACTGAGCCACAACCCCTGCCCAAAGCTGAACTTCTTACTCTCAGGATCTTCCTGGGCATATCTGTCAGCTTGGGACTAAGCAAATAAAGATATAGGAACCACATTTTCCTCTTTGGTTGATATCCCAGGTACCATTTAAAGCATGGGGCTGAAGAGCTAAAAACAAGAAGTGAATCCTGTCTTGAAACACACCACTGATGACATCATCACCAACTAGGATAGCATGGAGAAAACCTGGCATATACCTTCTACAATAATCCTTACTGTGTATCCCTCAAATTCCATAATCAACAAGGAAAAGGTACTACAGGCTGTGTTTGAGCCTTTTGGTGGACCCTCTATGTACTCTGCTATGGCAGCTTTACTATCCCTGGATACCTTTAGTACACTACACTGTTAGTATGCACTCTGCTAATAGTAACACTGACAGTGCCCATTTGTGAGGGGTATGCCTGCCAATGTCATCATTTTCTCATTTGTTAACTGAGTTATTTGTTTGTTTTTAAGTTTTTTGAGTTCTTTATATATCCTGGATATTAATCCTCTGTGAGAAGAGTAGCTAGCCCATTCTGTAGGCTCTCTTTTCACATTCTTGTTTCTTTTGCTATGCAGAAACCTTTTAATTTGATGCCATTCCACTTATTAAATCTTGGCATTATTTTCTGAGCTTTAGGTGTCCTATTGAGAAAGTATTGCCTGTTACTATATGTTAGAGTGTCGACCCTATGTTTTTTTTTTCTAGGAGTTGCATAGTTTCTGTTCTAATTCCTAAGTCTTTGATCCATTTTTGAGTTGATTTTTGCATGAGTAAGAGATAAGGATTTAATCTGATTCTTCTACATAAGGACAACAAGTTTTTCTAGCACCATTGGTTAAAAAGGCTGGTTTTCCTTCCATGTATGTTTTTGACACCTTTGTCAAGGATCAGATGAATGTATCTCTGTCGGTTTATCTCTGTGTCTTCTATCCTGTATCATTGGTCTCTGTGTCTGTTTTTTTTTTGCCACTATTATGACATTTTTGTTACTATAGCTCTGTAGTATAATTTCAAGTCATATATTGTGATGCCTCCAGCATTGGTATTTTGGCTTAGGATTTTGTTTGCTATTCTACATCTCCTATTCTTCTAAATGAATTTTAGGATGGTTTTTCTGTTGCTGTTTGTTTTGTTTTGTTTTTGTTTTTGTATTTTTAGTCCTATGGAGAATATCATTGGTATTTTGATAGGAATTGCATTAAATCTGCATATTGCTTTTAAATGTATGGCAATCTTAACAAAATTAATTTTGCCTATTCATATACATGGGGTGTGTTCACATATTCTTGTATATTCTTCAATTTCTTTCTTCAGTGTTCTATAGTTTTCATGGTAGGGGTCTTTTACCTCTTTGGTTAGGTTTATTCCTATTATTTTATTTTATTGAAGTTATTGTGAATGGTATTGTTTTTCTGATTTCTCTCTTAGCAGATTCATTAGTATTATACAAGAAAGATTGATTTTGTATGTTGATTTTGTAACCTGCTACTTTGCTGAATTGTTCATTAATTCTAGCAGTCTCTGGTGGGACTTTTTAGATCTTCTAAGAATAAGACCATATTCCTGCAAACAGTGATAATTTGACTCCTTCCTTTTATATTTTTATCCCTTTTATTTCCTTCTCTCCCCTAATTGATATGGCTAAAATTTCTAGTATTATATTAGGTAGGAATGCTAAGAGTAGACATCTTTGTTTTGTTCTAGATTTTAAAGGCAATGCCTTCAGATTTGCCCCATTTACTATGAGGTTGGCTTTAAGTTTTTCATATATAGCCTTCATGATATTGAGATATGTTCCTTCTATCCCTAGTTTCTTGCTAGTTTTTCAGTGTTTTTCTCATGAATGGATGTTGAATTTGGTTGAGCCTTTCTCTGCATCTTTACATTTATTGATTTTTGTAGATCAAACTATCCTAGCATCCCTGGTCTGAAACCAATTTAATCATGATGTACAATCTTATTGTTGAATGTGATCTGGTATTTTTTTTAAGGATTTCTTGTGTCTAAGTTCATTGGAGATATTGGTCTGTAGTTTTCTTTCCTTGATGTGTCCTTATCTGGTTTTGGTATGAGGGTAATGCTAGTTTTTTAGAATGATTTTTGAAGTGTTCTATTCCTTTCTATTTCATAGAATAATTTCAGAAGCATTGAATTTGGTTCTCCTTTAAAGGTCTGGTAGAATCCAGCTGAGAATCCATCTGGTCTTACTTTTCTTTGTTGAAAGGCAGAAATTTAAATAGTCTCCTTATGTTATGCTCTTTAATTCTTCTTAAGTGTTCTGCATATTTTTCACATTTCTTTCCAGGGAATAAACACCACAAAAGCAAGAAAAAAAATCTCTTGTGCTCTATCCTGATATCATTAGTTGTTAATATTTATTGAATTATTGAATATATAATACAATGATCAATAATAACATGAAATACAAATGAGAAAGCTATAATAAATAAAATTATAGTTTTCTCATTTCATGGTTATCTATATGGTTATTCTAATTGAAAACCAGTCTAACCCACAATGTTTATCTCCTAAACAATGTAGTTAAACTGTACCTAACCTCTATCCATACACTGTCATGAAAGAATCTCTCTGGAAATGACTAGTTTCTCCTTACTTCTCATGACTTCCCTAGAATAAAGTTGGCCATCTATAAAGTTAGGAATTTCCCCTAGGTATTCCACTTTATAAAATGTATAGTTCTTTGAATTCCAAAAGGCCTGTATCACATCTCCTCATAGAAGAATTGCATGCAAAAATAAAAACGGATATTTAAAAAAAATAGTTGGATAACTGGTTGTTATATCCAATGGAAATGTAACAACCAGTTTCCAACTATCTATTGAAAATGGGTCTATTATTCCTCCAGCCATTTAAATGCAGATGGTAGCACTTGAAGCCAATAAAACTGTTGTAATTAGTGTGCTTATTATTCATTGGTAATTTGTTTGTGATAATTAACAAGTGAAAACCAATCACACGAAATCTGAAAGCTCTTTTACACCAAATTTCAGTTTTCAATGATCCATTAAATATTTTATGTTGCTTCTTTGTCTAAAGACACTTTGACATTTATTAAAACCCACAACCTACTGAATATGGAACACTTTGCAATACACTGCCTTACCATGGCACCCAAATAGGGAAGCATCTTGTCAGCATAGTCCTGAATGCAGCATGACTCAAAACAAATATGACAGATTATTCTAATTCATTTACCATTATAGTTGGCTATGAAAACTTACTTGTGCATTTATACATCTACCCTTAGCAGTGTATTCAAGTAATCAGAAGTATAAACGAAAATATATTATCTTCAATGACTAAGGTAAGTGTGGAATTTGAACCAGAAAGAACAGAGTTCATGCCCTAGGTCTTTCACTAGATGGACTGAAATTTACTGAACTCTGAACATCAACTTTTAAAATGTAAACTGGAGATAGCAATGCTTGCTCCCTGCAGTGGTAAAAGAATAAATGAAATTATGCTTATAAATGCACATCAGAGGTACTCCAAGCCTGGTAATAGTTAGTATTCTGTCTTTTGCTAACCTTGCTTTCTTTATGCCTTGCCAACATGCATAAAGACTTTGCCTGCTTCTTGCATACACTTTCTTCTTTAAATTGATCCTCTCTCTCCTAGGAGAGACACAGATTGCAAAGTAGGTAAAAAAAAAAAAAAATCGAAGGGGGGGCATTTATTGGAACTTGACCCCTCTCTTTATCACAGCAGTTCTAATATTTGGAGACTCCTGACTCCTAAACAAAGAATGGGCTGTTTCTAGCATAGTCAAAAAACAAAAGTGAGTCTGTAAAGAAAAGGGGTCTGTCAATTCTTCCAGCCAGCAACTTACCAGAAGTTCTTACCTGCTGGAATATTAAATAGGGGAAAAGGTAAAATCTTTAAGGTCAATAGGGTTCAATACCAAGGAAAAACAGAATATTAATTTTCTTTCTTTTTATTATTTTAAAAGAAACATAAAATACAGCTTTGTTTCTGATTTGCTAAACACAGACTAACGTGTATCTGTTTCCAGCTCTGTGATCTTTTGTTGATACACAGGAACCCTACGGGAAAGAAGAACTCATGTGTTTATAGGGTCCTTCCTTCCTACATAAGGCAAAAATAATAATAGTGAAATAAATTGGCTAAAATAAATTTAGGAAGCAAAACTTAATCTCAGTCAAACTGTGTGTTCTTGTGTTTGACTATATTATCTCAACTAATTTAAAAAAGAAAATTCAGTGGATGTCATGGCACAGTCATATAATCCCACCTTCTCAAGAGACTGAGATAGGAGGATTACAACTTTTAATCGACACCCTGTCTCAAAACTAGTATGAATAGTTCTCTCTGTCAAAACTCAGAGAATATTTTGGAAAAATATAAAGTAGAAAAATCTTAACTCTTTAAAAGTATACTTATAGTGGATATCAGTGTGTCTTTAAGAAGACTTGCCATTTACATTGGATTTGCTAGTGATAAAACTGAATGACTAATAACCAAAAATTTGCTTTCAGAGTTGACATGGCCCGAATCCTGATCTATGTCACTTGAAAACCTCAGGACGTGACCTCATCCTTCCCTCTGGGACGATCCAATGAACAAGAGAAAAAGTGAAGTTGTCATTACCACATTTGCTCATAAGAGAAGAAAATGTTTATCTTAGCAGCTTCAGAAAGAAAAATTCAATATTGATTCTTGATAAAACTCTTAGCAATCTAGGTCCAGAAAAAAAACATTCATCGCTGACAAAGAGCATCTGTAAAAAGCCTCCTGCCAACACTACAATTGAAAAGCTGAGAGCATGTCTTGAATATCAGGGACAAAGAGAATCTATTGTCATCATTGCTTCAATATTGTGCTGGAGGTCCTGAACAGAAGAACCAGAAACAAAATACTTTTTAGTGCAGATATTGTGTTTGAATTTATGGAAATCATCCCCCAAAAAACCCTGTAAAACAAATTATTGGAATTAGTAAGACAGTTTTTTTTAAATGCTGCATAAAAAATAGCCCTTTGTATTTGTACCTGGATCCAACTAACCACAAATTAAAAATATTTTTTGAAGTTGTGTCTGTACTGAACATGCACAAATTTTTTTCCTTATCATTCCTTAAACAATGCAGAGCAACCATTTACATTGCATTTATACTGTATTATTATAAATAATCTAGAGATGCTTTAACTATATAAGAGAATGTGCATAGGTTATATGCAAATATTACATCATTTTATATATAAAGGGCTTGAACAGCTACAGATTTTGGTATGTATGGGGGTCCTGGAACCAATCCCCATGGACATGGAGAAACAACTATATACAAAAATGAGACATATACACTAATAACCAAACTGTCAAACAATCTGTTTATAATTCTATAAAGTTGCAGTGCTCATATATTACTTATTTTGCATCAAATATTGTTCTATATACCTTACGTAGGTAATGCTTTTTAAATGTCATTAATTCATTGACATTCCTCCATTTGCCTCCATTCTTCCTTTCCCTCAGGTGGGCCTGTCTGAATGAGTTGTTCTATTGAGTAGAAGAGGTCAGAGTGAAGCTGTGTAAATCTGAGACTAGATCATAAATAGGATAGCTTCTGCCAGGCTCTTCCTCTCAGAATCATTTGCTCTGGGGAAAGCCAGTCACTGTCTTATAAGGACACTTAAGACCCTTAATAAAAATCCCCATCTGCAGGAACTGAGGCCTCTTGTCAATAGCTAGCTCTAACTTGCTAGCTAGTAAGTGGTCCAGAAGAGCCCTCAAATCTTGACTGAACACCATCAGAGGCTTGAGTCAGACCTCAAAGCCGGGCTTCTCCAATGTTCTTGACCCTCAGAAACTGTGAGGGTTATTAAATATTTATCATTGTTTTAAATTTTGCAACAGAGCAATAGGTCATGCACATTGCGTGATTGGCACAACATCTCTACAACATAGCTTCTAGTCCCAATATCACTTTAAAGGTGAGACAAGAGAGGCAGAAGAAGTATATGTTTGAGCTCACAAAGTGGAGATGTGTGACCAATGGAGACAGGACTCAAGTGCAACTGGTCAGGTTCCAGAGTTTGTGTTTTCAACTGTAATATGATGCTGCCTCGGCCTTTCCCTCTTCAAACTTTTAACGTACTTTATCTCACTCAATTCCTTTTTGTTCTAAATACCACTCTTCAATAGAACTTCAATCTAAAGACTGAATAGAGCTAAGTACTTATCTAGATCATCTGAGAGCCACTTCTATCTGGATCTTTTTCCTCTTGTATGGGCCCACCTTTTGTGGGCCCCATATTACCCTCTTTATTTTATGAATAAAATCTCCTCTGTGTCAATATCAAGAAAAGAAAATGCTGATTGATTGCTCTGATTTGTTATATTGTGAAAACCTGAGTAATAAAGAAGACATCTCAGAATATATTTCAAACCTATCCCTGGCAGTCAACAATAGGTTCATAGAAGTATTCAGGACTCTCATTGTCAGATAATAAGTAAGTGCTTCACTCTGGATGCTTCTGACATTCAGTCAGTATCTAAACTCCATCATGTAGAGCCTATCTAAAATTTGTTCTTTACTTCATCCAGAGTCCTCATCCTGCTTGGCAAGTAATAAATATTCAACTTTCTTGTTTCAGATATATGTAAAGTGTAGTGTTAGTCAATTTTTCCATCACTGTAACAGAATACCTAAGATAATCAACTTATAAAAAGATTCATTTAGCTCACAGTTTAGGAGATTCTTGCTCATGCTTGTTTGACCTAATTATCATGGGCCTGTGGTGAGGCATTATATCATGGAATCCATACTGGAGACAAAGCCTTTAACATATGGAGCTTTGGGGGGTATTTAAGATCCAAACTATAGCAAGAATTTTTAAAAATTTTTTCTACACTCTTGATTTGCTGGAATAAATCTTCTAGTAGCTGTGTATTCAAGAGTAAACAAGAGAAAAACTTCTTGACGCATCACATATGTTAAAATTCTTTCTTTCATAACTTCTTATTGGTTGATAGTTTGCCATGATAAAGAATTTATCATCACATTTTTCCTAAGATTTGAGGGGAATATATTCTTATAACATCCAGTGGTTCCTAAAGAGACCTCCAATGCCAATATGACTCATATTCTTTTGGAAATAATTACTCTTCTATGTGAAAAATTGTTGAATACTTTCTCTACTTGGGATTTGAAATTTCAGAATTTTTTTATATCTCTCTTCTTTGCTTTTTATTGACCATGCTATTTTGCAATCTGAAGACTTATAGACTTTATTATTTTATATACATCCCATCATTTTTCTTTTGTGCACATTCTAGATTTTCTAAACTTTATTCTCTAATCCTGCTGAATATTTATGATGATTCATTTTATGTGATAACTTGGCTAGGCCTGGGTACCCAGATAATTGGTAAAATATTAGCTTCAATGTTGTGAAGGTATTTTTATTTAACATTTAAATATTCAACTTTTTTTGGGGGGGTGTCCAATCTGTTGAAGGCCTAAACAGAAAAAAGTCTGACCTCCCCCAAGAAAAGGGGAAATTCCTCCTCCTGCCTGTCCATGGATTCAAGCTGCAATATCAACTCTTCCCTGAGCCTCTAGCCTGCTGGAATAACTTGCAGATTTTGGATTTTCCAACCTCCACATGTAAGCCAAATTCCTTAAAATATCTTTCTCCCTCCATCCCTTCCTCTGCTCCCTACCCTTGTTGTTCTCATTGCTCTTGCTATTTTGCTTTCTCTTTCATGCTACACTCTTCTAATATAGCTATGATTCTTAGTTATTCATTTGTAATGACGAAGGAAAAATAAGACAAATGAGCAAGTGTCTAATGTATTTAATCTTTCTATTCTATCCTCCAAGGAAACTTAGCTACTGGCACATAGCTCCTCCCCCGAGGCATACAGTCATCTGTCTTTCTTCTCTCACTGCAAGTCAGAGTAGTTTCTTAGGGTGAGGAGGGAAATGACCCCTTGAATGATCTGTATTGTCTGCCTTTTGCCCTTTTTAGTATAAACTCAAATTTTGCAATTAAAAACCCAAGGGCATGAATTTTAAATTCTCTAATTTTGCTAACATATTTCTTTGGAGCAATGGACATCTCGTGGCTTCATATTCATGTTAAGAGCCACAATAAAAGTGATATTGGGGATAGTAGCAACGAAACCTTACATGGTTGCTCCATCTAAATATCACCCCAACCATGGGATTAAACATCAGGATTGAAAAGAGATAGTCCAGTCTTCTCTACTTCATATTTCGCCACCTATTTCTTCCAATGCTTCCAAAGATGCCTATTTTCCAAAATGTGCAGTTGTTATCCCATTGTTTTTCACATTTTAGCTAGAATAGGGAGGCAGTAAACTGTAATTCAAATTTGGTTTTTCCTTACTCAAAATGCAAGAGCATCATCCAGTGGCAAAACTCTAACTACAAAATTTTCAATTTACATATAAGGGATACTATTTCAACATAGGGGAAAAAAAAATATTTTCCTGTCCTATTTTCCTAATGAGATTTCCAGACAAAACTGTAGGAAATTTATATGGCTGCTTATTTCTCAGCTTCCTTTGAAACTTCCAGGCCTAGTTTCCTAGTCCCGAATCTTGAAGACCGATGTTAGGAATGACTGTCTTAGGAGGATAGGTTGTTGGCTATAACTCAATACTGGGGGTCAGGGTTTCAGGGGAGCCAGGCCATGGAAAGGTCTAACTCCTTTGAATAATTTTTTTTCTTTCTCCTGAAAACAGCATCTAAGTATCTTTCCCTCATTGCCCTAGCCATCAGGACACTGAAAATTAAATGTAAATCCATTTTAAACAATACAGTAAGCTCTAAGTCTCCTATTAAAGATTTCTTCCTTTTAGTTCTGAAGGAATATGTGTGTGTGCACACACATGCATATTCTGAAATTCTCTGTTATTGCTGTTACTATAATTATTTGTATATTATGAATTTATCTTGATATGTTTAGTATAATTTATATGTTTTCTAGAATGCTACATAGTCAATTCTCTTGGAAAACCCCACTGAGCCTAGAAATTATAGTATACTAAAAACAATCACCAGACTTTGACGGAATGTATAGATTCTCCCCAATTTTTTACTACCTTATTGTAATCTAACAGTAGGTTCACCTAAACTCCCTGACTTAAACAAAAAAATACATGAGCCAAACTATCTGAAATTCATGAAATTATCTAAACTCACCATGAGATTCCAATGGGCTAGGAATATTTAAGATCAAAATGTACTGACCACTTTGGTAGAAATTTAAGGTCTGAAAGAATATATTTTGGGCCATGACCATCTTTCTTTGAGACATGTCCTGTAGTTTTCCTTAGTGACTTGGGTGTAGCATGAAAGAAATCTTAGAATTGTCAGGTTGTGAGTCAGGGTGAAGAACATGGGTGGTAGTATAAATGTCTAATCTGGCCATTTAATTAGTATTCAAATGTTTAAAAACAAATTGTGTCTACTGGTTATAATTTTGCAGAGTTAAATTATCCGGAGGATTCAGGAACAATAGATTCTCTGGAAGGGGCAACATAGACCTCCTCAACATACTGCTGGTTATTTCTTGAACTACTTTCTGATATTTGGGCCAAGAGTTAACAATGTCCATGTTTCAGTGAAAGCTTATTTGAAAACATGCCTGTGAACTTCGTCTGCACTCTTCCTTTTGTACAATGTGTCATGATATTGGGAAAGTTCTGAGTAAATAAATCTATCAATACCATAGGAATCTCATATTTTTCATCTGGATTTTATGTAGTCTTTTACTTGTCTTTTCATTTCCATTCTTTTGGAAAGCACTTGAGACATTTATTTGCACACAAATAAGGACATATCAGCGATGAAGTTGTTTTTCACACTTGTGCCATCCCATCTCTCATATGATTTCTATTACTGATGAAACCTTCATATCACTTAAAGTTACTGGCATGTTATTTTTTCTTTGAAGACTTTCAGAGATGCAGGACAGAATGTGTAATAGTGTATACTGTGGGGAGAGAAAAAAAAAAAGTTCTCTCCTTGCTGGTTTCCAAATAAGGAAGTAAAAGGATGTCAAGTACTTTTG